GTTTGGAGAGCTAGGGCTAGAAAAGAGTAGAACCCTTTCCCAACTGTCCAGATGCAAGAGTGTAGTGAGCTAGATGTGGAGCACTGGGCCTCAGGGGCAGCAACACACACTCGCTTTCCCCAGGAGGAAGTTTCAGGTGGGGACTTTGAAGGGTCAAGACGGAGAGGAGAAAGTACATACTCTGCCCTTTCTCTTTTCTCCTCGACTGCCTGCACTTTGCATCTCTTTCCTTTTTAAAGCACAGGCTACTATTTCAGAGAAGTCTTTATTTTATAAAATTTAGAATGTAAACAGAAAGGGAAGAGACCAAAGTGTTATTCATAGCCTCACCACCCAAAGATGAGCAGTAACACACATTTAAGACCATTTTCTTTCTTTCACTCGGCCTTGTTACTTTTACCTAATTATGACTTTTTTACTCACATTTTATTTCACTTTATGTGTTATTACTGATTCTTTATAAACCACTTTAATGGCTACATAATATTCTAACAGATGGGAATAGTATAAATTACTTAGCAGTTGTTGAATGTTCAGATTTTTTTCAGTGCTCATTTTTATAAGTGAGAGTACACTAAATATCTCTGCAAATAACTCTTTCTCTGAATTTAAAAATATTTCCTGAGGATGGAGTGCTAGAAGCACAATTACTATGTTAAAGTAGGTAAGTATACTCAATACTCCTTTTATGTGTTTTCTTTCCCTCCCTCCCTCCTTCTCTCTTTCTCTCTCTCTCTCCCCCTTTCATCATGCTATATGTTAGGTCTCTAAACTTACTGATCTACATAGCTGCAACTTTGTACACTGTCACCTAATGTTCTCAGTATAATGCACATGGGGTATGTATGGGTGTATGTGTAACCAAGTTAGTTTCCTGAAAGTCATACAAATTGACAAACCCAGTCCCATTTTCCTAAATTTTGTGTTCCATTAAATGACACTCACCACTGTAACCACAATAACAAGGCTTACTAAATTATAATAAATATGATTGTTATGTTGGAAGATAACTGAAATATTTTTCAAGTGCATTTGAGATCAAAATATACCTAGAAGGGAGTGGGCATTTAGCTTAACACTTAAGTTCAATTCCTGGACCCAACTCCAGATTCCAGCTTCCCACCAGTGTAGACCTTGGGAGGCTATGCTGGTGGCTCAAGGAATCAGGTTTCTATCAACCACATAGGAAATGTGCATTGAGTTCCTGCTTCCTGGCATGGCCCTGCCCCAGCACCAGCCATTGTGGGCATTTAGGGAGTGAATCAGAGGTGGGAATTCTCTCCACCTCTGTCTCTAAACTAAAAAGGAAAAGTCACATGGGAGCTGGATGTGGAGTCCCTGCTTGCAGAAACAGGCCTGTTGCCCACAGATGTCTGGGACCTGATGATCAGAGACAGAGCATGGCTTCAGATGGGACACCAGGTGAGGTGAACAGACCCCATCCATGTGAGTTCTCAGCCTCACAGAAGTTTACATGAAACGTCAGTTTGAAGAAAACAGAAATTACCCCTCGTTCCATCCTCAGATAATTACATGAATCTAAAGCTTATAAATAAGATGCCAAAGTAGCAATTTTGGCAACCTTAAATTCCAGGACACTAGAACTTAGGGAGTCTGTGCTAGAAAAAGACAAATAAGTGCTGTATTTATTTATATGACATTTATATCTCATTAGCACTTTGCTAACATACTTAGTTGCATTAAAATTAGAAGTGTATATATACTCATGTTAGAGACTTTTTATATATTATAAATTATTCATTAATTATGTTGTAATTAAAGTTATATTTTTATGTTTTATAAATACACCATTTACACACATATATAAGGAGAGAGCACACATGCATGCACGCTCACTGAGATCATGAGAGAGCTGTCCTTTCCTTTCCCTCCAGGCTCACTTAAGGCTTTCCATTTTCTATTGCATTCTGCTTGTGTCTTGGGACTGTTACAAATGCTTGGTATCTGAGAGTGCACTAAAGAGGGTCTAAGTACCTCACTGAGTCTAATCATGGCCTCTACACTAACAAGAACATTGACAGCTGAATGTCTTGCTTAGGCTGTTCCAGCAGCTGTGCTGAGCATCTCCATGGATTCTCCGATTTTATCAGCACAGCAATTCCGGGGTTTGGTGTCGTACCCATTTTATAGGCAGGCTGACTGAGATCTTGAGGGCTTAAATGACTTACCCAAGCTCATTCATCTAATTGTCAGTGCTCAGGGGTGGGTGTGGCCCATGGCTGAGGTATGCAGAAAAGAATAACTTGTTTCACATTAAGAAATGAAATACTCATTTGTTTCACACTAGAAATGAAATACTCATTTGCAGTGGATTTCAAAACATTTCTGTGCTCCAGTGAATTGATCTTCTGCTTCCATTTCCATGAACTTTTGAAGTACCCATGTGTGACATTCTTGTATTTGTTAAAGATTTATTTATTTATTTATTTGACAGGTAGAGTTACAGACAGTGAGAGAGACAGACAGAGAGAAAGGTCTTTCATCCATTGGTTCACTCCCCAAATGGCTGCTACAGCCTGAGCTACTGCTGATCCAAAGCCAGGAGCCAGGTGCTTCCTCCTGGTCATCCCATGCAGGTGCAGGTGCCCAAGCACTTGGGCCATCTTCTACTGCCTTCCCAGGCCACAGCAGAGAGCTGGACTGGAAGAGGAGCAACTGGGACTAGAACCCGGTGCCCATATGGGATGCTGGTGCCTGCAGGTGGAGGATTAACCCAGTGCACCACGGCACTGGCCCTGCATTCTTGTATTTTAAAAGGGAAAGGATAGAGTAGGAAAACTGTAAGTTTAGGATGCTCTTTAGTTGTAGTGAGAGTGGACTGTCATAGCTAGTGACCAGTTGTGTTCTCTGCAAATACTAACAGATGCACCATAATGAGTTGGAGAGGTCCCTTCAGCACCAGAGTTGGGGTCACATCCAGTGCAGGGAAGCTCTGGACAGAGGCTCTGAGCCTGGTTTCTGTGTGGCTGAGGAAAGGGCCATGGAAGAGGCTGCCACCTTGAATTGGCCAGCCTTACCCCTGGCATTCCAGGACACAGACCCAGAGCCTGTGCTTTCAAATGTTGCACAGCTCATTTTTTAAATAAGGCTTTTATTTAATAAGTATAAATTTCATAGAAACAGCTTTTTGGATTATAGCGGTTCTTACCCCCATAGCTGCCCTCCCACTCCCACTCACTGTACCACCTCCTACTCCCTGTCCCATCCCATTCTTCACTAAGATTCATTTTTTTAATTATCTTTATATACATAAGATCAACTCTAAGTAAGATTTCAACAGATTGCACCCAAACAGACACAAAAAGTATAAAGTACTGTTTGAAGACTAGTTTTAACATTAATTCTCATAGTACAACTCATTAAGGACAGAGGTCCTACATGGGGAGCAGGTGCACAGTGACTCTGGCACAGTTCATTTTTTAAAACTGAATTTTGAGGCTTTAGATTTCATAAGGCTGACATTTTTGGCTTGGAAAGCCAATACTTTCTAATGCATTATTGTTGAGGAATGTGGATGTTTTGTTCAAATCCTAAGCAAAAGGCAATTACAGAGTAAAAGGGAAGATAAATTATATACAGTTACAAGCCAGAACGTAATGACAGTCATATCACGTGATGGCAGACCTGTAACACTGCTAAGGCTGCATGTTGAGGACATTCTCTAGCCTCAAACACCTACATTTTTTTAAAAAAGTAAGCTGAGGGACCTGGTGCTGTGGCTGTAGTAGGCTTATCCTCCACCTGTGGTGCTGGCATCCCATATGGGTGCCAGTTTTTGTCCTGGCTGCTCCTCTTTCAATCCAGCTCTCTGCTGATGGCCTGGGAAAGCAATGGAGATGGCCCAGGGGCATGAGCCCCTACACCCACATGGAAGACCTTGAAGAAGCTCCTGGCTTCCGATCAGCTCAGCTCCGGCCATTGCAGCCATTTGAGGAGTGAACCAGCAGATGGAAGATCTTTTCTCTGTCTCTCCTGCTCTAACTTTACCTCTTAAATAAATTTAAAACATTTTTTTAAAAAATGGGAAGCTGAAAATAACTTATGCATCTTAAAAATTCAGAGAACAGTAGAGTGAATCAAATGGGGGGAGCAGTAGATGTCAGAGGAAATGAAGGTGATAGAAAATAAAGAGGAACTGTTCACAGCACAGCCTGCAGAGGGATGGAGTCTGTGTTGCACTGGGGTTTTGTACTTGCATTATTGGGCTACTGGTGCTCCAGCTCTGCTAAAAGCTCAGGTGCAGGCCCTGAGGGGCACAAAGGATTTGCTCTGGTCAGAGTTTGGTTGCATGTGGTAACAGTACTCTGTGATGGTGGTGGGGCTTTAATCCGTGATTGCACCAGAAGGGCTCTGTCCTCCTGAAGGGGCTGATCCCAGTATCACAGGAGTGGCTCAGTCCTTGAAAGAGTGCATTCTTGACAAAAGAGTGACTTTGCCTGACTCTTCCTCACAGGCCCTCTACCCTGTGTAACACCCCTGCCAGAGATGGCCCTTCACTGGGAATTCCAGCCTACAGAACCCAAATGAGTGCCTGTTGTTGATAAACTGCACAGTCTGTGGTGGTCTGTTACAGCAGCAGAACATGCGCTGGGACATGGGCTTCTGCCAGTGTCTGATCCTGCTATCTGTTGAGCTTGGTAGCAGTCCTAACAGTAATTGCTGTGTTTACTGAGCACTTACTCCATGCCCGTGGCCTTGCTGCATTAGCTTATTAATCCTTACAGCTTCGTACAAGGTAGATACATTTTCCACACCTCCAATGCTAGGGAATGAGCCCTAGTTTAGAGGTTTCATTTATCCAGTGGTGATTTCCTGAGTGTTTACTTTGTGCTAGGCAGCCTTCTCAGTGAAGGTGCAGTGCTGAACAAAACGTGCCAGTATGGATTTCTATCCTAGTACCAACTGCCCGAAGTTACAAGAGGGGAGTTGTGAAGCTGGCTCATGTCATTAGTCACTTCCTATCTGCTTTCCTTTTTCAGCACCACACCCTGACCACATGGCTGCTGACCACTGCACCTGCTTCACAGGGGGCTGGCACCTCAGCATGGAGATGAGCAATGGCGAACACACAGAAGGGCCTGGTGAGTGCCAGCCAGTGTGGCTCACATTCACTTTGTTCTCACATGGCCCTGACCTCTTTCAGCTCTCATACACATGTCCCGAGCAGAAAGTCCAGTGCCTTTGTGTGCTCAAGGATTTAACTTTACCCAGAAGGAAGTCTTTCCTGTGTCCTTGGCTTCTGGGAGGTTATCTCTGCGTCCTTGGAGCATGATCTTTGTCCACCTAGGAGCACTAGGTCCTGCCACAGAGTCTACAATACAATTTGGGGATGGGGCTAGCAGTGTGAGACAGTCTCTCAGTGGGCAATGGCCATGCTAGAATGAACAGTGATGTGAATGGCGGCTGTCTATCACATAGTGTCCGGTGACCCCAGAGGCACTGAAGACTGAGATCGAGCACATAGATAGTCAGTCATGCCTGTGGGTGGAGCCCTGGTGAAATCCCTGAACACCAGAGGCCAAGTGAGCTTCCCTGGTTGATAGTACTCTGCATCGTCACACACAATCACCAGGAGAGTGACAGTGTCCTGGCTCCACAGGGGGCAGACAACAGGAAGCTGTGTCCTGGGTGCTTCATCCATTGGCTGAGCCAGTCTCTATCCTTTCCCTGCATTAAACCCTAACTGTGAGTCTTACTCTGAGTCCTTCTGATTCATTATCAAAACTGAGTGGTTTGGGGGAGCCCTTGAGCTTGCAGTAGGGGTCAAACTTCACACCAAACTTCAAACTTCATGCAGTACACTTCCCAGGTCTCTTTTGGGGATATGTTAGATTGAGCAAAAGTGAAACCAGTCTGCATAATAGCAGAATGCCCCAGCTTCATGCTGGATTCATTGCTCCAGCAGTGGCCAAGGCAGCCTGTGCCCTGAGAACAGCAATAGCAGGGCAGGGACAAGTTCTGAAACCAGGCCCCAGGGCTTGGGGATCTGCCTCCATCAAGGGTGAATGTGCACCTTAGGGTGTGCAGCTCACACCTCGGGTGATAGCTACTTCTTCCATGGCCTCAGAACATTTTCCCTCCTTTATGTGATTACTTATTTACATCCTCTGTCATCCTAAAGGGATTGGAAGTAACTTGAATAGATATATATGTGCTCCAGTGAACTCACTTTCCAAAAAAAAAAAAAAAAAAAAAAAGGAGGGAAGTGGCAGAAGAAGGAGGAGGAGGGGAGCAAATGGGAAAGGAGTGAGAAGAAGGAGTCGACTTGAAATTAACATCCAAAGTGCACACCATAAACATCACTTGCATCTATTCATTATGTTGTTTAAAGCCTCCATGTCCTTATTTATGTGTGTGTTGTTTATTTACTTCCTTATTTATTTATTTCTGACCTAGTTACTCTGTCTCTGACATTTCATTGCACTAAGAGCCTTCTACTGTAATAGCTGCTTGTCAGTTTTCTCCTGCATTCCTAATGGTTTTTGCCTTATGCTACTGATGCTGTGTGATTCATTTCCAGTGGTTCATGATTGTTAGGTCTTCATTATGGGCTACACTTTCTAGCTATGTAAAGTAAACCATTTCTCTACTTAATGCATTTTGCCATGGATTCTATCTTGATACTAAAATGAGTACTCCTAAGCTATTATTTGTGAACAGCCACTATACCCTTGAGTAACTTTTTAATTGCAAGGCTTCAGTGTCATTTGGTTTTGTTTGTTTCTGATAAAAGCAGTATATATTTGTATTTGTTTTCAACGCAGTCCTGCACACAAATCTTGAGTTTGACAGAAGAGTTTAAAGTGATTACATATTATCAGAGTTGATGTTTGGTATTTCTCATTCCCACACTAACAGGTCTATCTTGAAGTTCCAGATTTCCATCATCCATCTCCCCAAGTCTCCACTGTCTCCCTCAAATTAACATTCACCTCATCTTCCTTACCTCCATAAATTGTATCACCAGACAGCCAAATTATTGCACATTTATGAGTAAAACAGGGGTCTGTGTTTCCAATGAGCTTCTCCTCAAGGAGGCACTCATGGTGGCTTGGGTGCAGATGGGAGAAGCATTATAGGTCAGCTACACTGTTGGTTTATGGGGATGGAGCAGGCTGGCAGACTGGGGACCCCCATCACCACCAAAATGATATAAAGAGCTTTGCTTGGGATGCAGAGTTTCTTCCATGTGGCTGTTCCAATGCATTTTGTTTCACTATTGCCCTTCTAGTTGCCTACTAGGGAGCTCTGGAGTTGCTTTGTTCTGCTCATCTTCTCTTTCCAAGGTCAGCACACTTGTCTGGGACATGTCCACTTGCACATTGATTTTTAGAATGTGCTTACTTCTTTGGTGTTGGACTGAGGTTAAAGGCCTCTGCTTCTAGAAGCTGTGGTTCATTTTGGTGGGGTGTTGGGAGAGAATTATTATCTCCATAGCTGTGTGAGACCCAGGTTTTAAATCAGTTACTTTCAAGATGTCCTGGCCTACTCAGGCTTATGTGTTTTTTGTTTGTTTGTTTAATCTTTGGCTTAGAGCTTCCCCTGGGTTATCTTAGAACAAATTCTGTTTATCCCTGTTGTTTTGGGCAGTTTATTATCACTCTTACTATTCTGACTTCTGTTTCAATCCAATTTTATCTCATTTCCATATTCTTGACAATTCAAAAATAATTTTTGGGCCATTGAAAACAATTTCTTATTTCCAAGGCTGCTTCTGGTTTTATTACACTAATGAATCTCTTGGGAAAAAGGTAGATTTATGTTTCTCTTTATGGATGCTTCTTATTTCTTTGATATCAGTCTATTTCTTTCTTATCAGATTGTATTTTTTGATTCTGCTGATAACATAAAAGAGATAGTTTAATTCTGTTTTCCCCCATAGAGTATGATTTTAGAGAGTTGCTTTATCTCTTTTTCTCTTAATGATTCACAAAGTCTGCAGGGGCCTCTGTATCCCTCCCTGCCCCCTAGTTTTTCCTTTTTCTATTTACTCATTCTTCACTGCAGAGCCATTTATCCAGGCACAGTATTTTGCCAAGAAAACTTTCAATTCACTTCTGACCAGGTACAGGTTATAAAAAGAACATCCCTTGCCAAGAAAGGTTGCACATTGAATTTCCTGAATCAGTCACTTTCATTGGCATTTTTTATTCATCCTGTGCTGCCAGAGACCACCAAGTGCCTTTTCAAAGTATTCCAGGAGTGGTGGTCTTCAAATGGTAGCTCTTGAGTCTACAGGAAATGGAAATATAACTACTAAATCATTTTTCTGTACTATTGACAAATGAATAAATGATGTAAGTAATGAGCAAAATGTAATTTTGCTCCTAAGTTGTCTCTTTCTCATGCTGTTTATGGGATGAATTGGAAGAGGGTCAATTCTACAAGGTCATGGGGTTTAGTTAAACATATTACTAGGGAGGGTTATAAAGTGAAGATCAGCAAGGCAGAGTTCTGGGTTCCTGATCTCCAGGCATCCTTCCAGGATACCCCTGCACCAGAGCCTTTGGGATTTGTTTTGTCTGTGCTCTGTAGGAGGGGCTTCAGCAGAGTCACCACCTCCCTTGCTAACCCTTTTAATCTATGCTGCCTTGGTGGTGACAGAAGAGGTCAGATGCAGTTTGTTTAGGGAGGTGTTGGAATATGTATCAGGAGATGCTGGGAGGCTCTGAGAAACTGTAGATCTTCTACTACTAGGATGGGGGCTGAGCTCCCCATGGATGACTGGGCTCAGGCCAGTCACCTACCACTGGGTGTTGGAGTAGTCCTTGGTCTTGGTCTCAACCACAGTGCAAAGCACTTTCCAGAGAAGTATCTAGGGATCATTTTTCCAATGACCCCACCCAGTTTTCCACAGATTATAATTCATAAAGATGTCTATAATTTGGTCAATAAAAAGAATATCTTTAATTTCCCATTCAATCTTGAGAGTCTATGAATCTGTGGGATTTTTTAAGTTTATTTATTTGAAAGGCAGAATGACAGAGAGTTGGAGAGAGAGAGAGAGAAATGTTTGGTTGATTGATTTATTTCATCTGCTAATTTTCTCTCCAAACTGCCTGCAACAGCTAGGGCTGGGCCCGGCTGGGGCTGTGAACTAGGAGCTCCATCTGGGTTTCCCATGTGGATGTTACAGGCACAAGTATGTGAATCATCATCTGTTGCCTCTGCAGTGTTCTTGAGCAGGAAGATGGATTGGAGGTAGAGGCAAGACTTGACCTCAGGCACTCTGATGTGGGATGTGTGTCCTAGGCAGCAGCCTACCCTCTATCACAACACTCATCCCACAAATCTGTGATTGTAATGCAATCTGTTTTTAAAGTTGTCACATACATATTTATCTTTTTACTATTTTACTTTGAAATAATTTCATATTTCTGGAAAAGTTGCAAAGATAACAGAATTCCCTGTTTAGCTGTGAAAGAAGAAGGACCTCATCTAATATGTCCATATCCATATGTCCATATCCTAACCTCTAGAACCTGTCACTGTGTCACCTTAAAAGGCAAAAGGGACTTTGTTTCTGTGATTGGATTATGGTTCTAGAGAAGGGATGCTACTGTGGTTGAATTTGATGACCCACAGTAAGCAAAGGGGTCCTGATAAGGGAAAGGGGAGGCTGGGGAGTGCAGGAGGGATTTGGAGATGCTGTGCTGCTGTCTTTGAAGAGGGGACAGGGATATGAGCCAAGCTGGAAGCTGGAGAGGCAAGGAAACAACTTGCTGAATAGGCTGAGAGTTTTACTCTGGGAACAGGAGAGTGTTCTGGAGACAGATGGTAGGTGGTGATCATTGCACAGTAATGTACACGTGCTGAATGCCACTGGTAAATTTTATGTTATGCACATTTCACCAGTTCTCTAAAAAGGAAAGGAAGGGGCCAGTGCTGTGGTGTAGTGAGGAAAGCCACTGCCTGCAGTGCCAGCATCCCATATGGTTGCTGGTTCGAGTCCTGGCTGCTCCACTTCCAATCCAGCTCTCTGCTGTGGCCTGGGAAAGCAGTGGAAGATGGCCAAGTCCTTGGGCCCCTGCATCCATGTGGGAAACCAGGAAGAAGTTCTGGCTCCTGGCTTCGGATCAGC